GTCAAGGTTTCTCCCACCTCAGTTACCTCAATGCCTGATCAGATTCCATGGGAGTTGCTTTAACTTGGGTCACTCTGTGAAACATGTAAGCTGGGTTCCAGGAAGAAGAGAGGAGGGGGAGAAAAGGAAGAGAATTTGCATATACCTGAAAATTGCCAGAGGAATAGAACACCATAAATATAGCATAGGAGTTGTTGATAAAAAGACAGAGAGAAACCAGTGTGGAAGTTGACTCCTAAATTTCAGAGAATTGAGACAACATAATCATTAATTGAGTATGTGGCCTTCTCTTCCTATGCCTCAAATACTGTGTTTTTAAAATTAATTTTGTTTTGTCATTTATATTCTTTGAGATAGAGGTATTCTGGATTTGGTCCCAGAAATAGGGTTGGAAGCTCTGGCCTCAAGCACAAAGTATGCAAAACTCATCCTCTCTCATAGTTTCACGTGAAATCTGTTCCAGACCTGGCAGCTCCCTTGAGCTTCATGCTAATGTCTTAGTTCAGTGTGCTATCTATTGCTGTGTAACCAGTTACCCCAAATTTAGCAGCTTGAAACAACAACTATTATCTCACATAGTTGCTGAGGGCAGAAATTTGGAAGTATCTTAGTTCAGTGGTTCTGAATCAAGATCTCTCATGAGATTGCAGCCAAGCTATCATCAGATGGGGCTGCTATCGTCTTAAGGCTCAGTTAGGACAGAGAACCCAGTTCTGAACTCATTCACAAGGTCACTGGCAAACCTTAGTTCCTCACTGACTGCTGGGCTGAGACAGGCTGGCTACCACATGGGCCTCTCCATAGGACTTCTGGCTTCCCCCAGAGAGAGAGGAGGCACCCAAAACAGCCACTGCTCATGAGGATACAGAGTAACTGGAGCTCTCATACATCATTGGTGGGAATATAAATAATATCATTATTTGAGTAAACAGTTTGGCAATGTCTTATAACATTATATACACATTTTGATCCAGAAACCTCTCTCCTAGGTATTTATCCAAGAGAAATTAAAACATATGTTCATGCAACTGTACATGAAATTTTATACTAGCTTTAAACATCATAGCCAAAAACTAAAAATAATTCAATTGTTCTTCAACTGGTGAATGTATACTAGTAGATTTAATACCTGACCTAATTGCTGTTTCAGCCTCTCCCCAAAACATAATCTTAATCAACCAATCTGGAATGTTCTGGTCAACACCAATGAGATAGTCTGTCATATCTCTCCATCTCCCTATTTCCAATAAAAAGAAGAAGCAATCTGTCTTATAAAAACCCTTCCCCCCAAAAGAAGATGTTCTGGTCTAAAAATAATCCTTTTTTTTTTTTTATGAACAGCTTCCTTGCCCCACCCTTCTTCCTATAAAAACTTCTATTTTGTACAACCCCTCAACACTCCCTTCTAGTTGCTACAGGGGTTACTGCACAATCCGTGAATCCCTCAATAAAGCCAATTAAATCTTCAAATTTACTCAGTTGAATTTTGTTCCTTAACAATACAAAGTATAGCACATCCATACAGAGAAATGCTATTCAGCAATAAAAAGAAACGAACTACTCATACATGCAACACATGACTGAATCTCAAAATCATTATGCTAAGTAAGGAAACGTGACACAAAATGCTACACACAGTACGATTCTATAGATATGAAATTAGGGAAAAGACAAAACTAGCAGGACAGAGATCAGATTAAAAAATAATTTTAAAAGGTGGGAAGGGCATTCCAATCAGAGATAAAAGCAAGAGAAAAGGCATGGAAGCATGACAGTGTGGTGGTGCATGCAAGAAAAGAGACTACAGCTGTCCAACGTTACAGGTACATACCAGTCAAAGCAATGAGTGGCAAGCAATGGAACCCGGAGCTTTTCACCTGCATCTCCAGCTTTCACCTCAAACTCAATATATCCTACACGATCGGCTGCATCCCTCTCTCCTGGAATAGTACCGTCTTGCCTGTTGATGATGTCATTTTCCTGGTCACGGAACTGTAAAGCTGGATTCATTCTTGGCTGCTTCCCTTATCTGTCCTACCAAATCCTTGCAACTCTCTTGCAATACCTTAGTTTTTGTGGGTTTTGGTGGTGGCAGTGGTGGTACACTGACACCGAAAGGTTTTCGATTTCTCTCACATACTATTCTTTCTCATCCCAGAGCTTTCATATAGATCAGGCTTTTATTTCTTCTCTCCATGATTGTCATGCAGCCCTCTCACTGGTCGTAATGCATCTGGTCACTCTCTTTTCTTGCCAGAGAAGTCTTCTGAAAATACCAACCTAATCCCACCACTTCCAAACCAAAAGTTGATTCAAAGTCCTTGTCAATGAAAAGACTCTCTCCACCGGATCCTAATCTACTTTTTGTTGTTGTTGTTGTTGTTGTTGTTAATCCTCACCCAAGGATTATTTTTCCATTGATTTTTTTTTTTTTTTTAAAGAGAATGAAAGGGAGATGGAGAGACAGGGAAAGAGAAACATCGATGTGAGAGAGACACATTGATTGGTTGCCCTTTGCACACAAGGTATGCAAAGGATAGAGTCTGCAAACAAGGTATATGCCCTTGATTGACCGGAATTGAACCCAGGACCCTTCAGTCTGTGGGCGGGCACTCTATCCACTGAGCCACACTGGCTAGGGCCTAATCTACTTTTTATTCCTTAATTCACCCCGGACAACAATCTGCTTCAGCCAGCCAGCTTGAGTTGTCCATTCCCACCTGTTTGCATTTTCCTCAAAACAGATCTTACAATTCTGTCGGAGGTGCCCCCCTTACCGTCACCCCCCCACACCCAGTTTCCTCTCCACATTTTAAATCCTCCTCTTCCATCATGACTCAGCACAAGTCCTACCTCCCCATTCTCACCTCTTACTCTCAGTAAGATTCTTCAAGTCACACTTTCTCCTCTGAGCTCGCAGCACTTATTGTTTCACCAGTTTGGGGTTTCAGTGGTTATATTAATAATGGTAGCTTATAATTCTACAGCTGTTTAAAGATTTCAAAGAATTTTCCTGTTCATCATCTGACTTGAAGTCTTTTCAACAAATCTATGAGACTATTCCAATTTTAAAGATTAAAAAATGTGGCTCTATAATGCATAGTGATTTGTCTAAGGCAGCAGTTCTCAACCTGTGGGTCACAACCCCTTTGGGGGTCGAACGACCCTTTCACAGGGGTCGCCTAAGACCATCGGAAAACACATATATAATTACATATTGTTTTTGTGATTAATCACTATGCTTTAATTATGTTCAATTTGTAACAATGAAATTGGGGGTCACCACAACATGAGGAACTGTATTAAAGGGTCACGGCATTAGGAAGGTTGAGAACCACTGGTCTAAGGTCACACAGCTAAGTAAAAGATTTTTTTCATACTCTACATTTTTTAGGTAAACAAAGACAGAGCCAGAATATTGGTTTTCAGTCAAGAGGAAGAGGTAGGACTATTTTTAATGGAGAAAAGCTATTTAAAGTCAGAAATAAGACATATATAATACCTTAATCAATAAAGAAAAATAAATAAATAAAGTCAGAAATAGACTATGTAAAGTCAGAATTGAACCACAATGACATTTTTACTGACCACAATGTCTGCTTAGTTTTTGCAAGTCTGGTAAGATACTGTGCTAGGCAGAATTCAATCTAAACAGTTCAACAGGTGGATTTTTTAAAAAAACTGGGAAACTGTACCTTCAGCCAGCACTTATTTCTGCTTTTGCGACTGTAGGAGCTGACTGCGTGGGAGAGTTAACTGCTGCATTAAATGTGGAATTAAAATTAAAAAGCTCTGACATATATTTTTAGAGAACAGAAAGAATTAAAATTAAATGCAACTGAAAATCCAGTTAGTATAGTTGGCATTTAAATTGGCTGTTTAATTAGCAAAATTTCTATATGATTAAAGTAGTCACTTGAACATGACTTTCAAAGTAAAGCATTTTAATATGCTCCGGTTCTTAGAGGAACTGCATCACTTTATCTTTGTGTTCCCCTCTGGAATTGACTCATTCTGCAGTTTGAGTTAAGGAGCTCCTGGACTAATGCTTTAGAAAGGAGCTTATCAGAATGAAAGCAGAAAGAGAATCTTATTCGATAATAAAATATACTAGGCCTTGAAAGTGTTAGCTCTTTTCAATATAGAACGGAGTACAGGGAGAAATCTTTTTCTTCAAAGAGAAGTCTTAGATCTCTATCTTACATTCCATCTGTGTTATTAGGTTGGTAACTACCTCTGAGAATCAAAGGATTTTTGAGGTTGAAAGGACACATTTTTAAAAACGTACACACACAGGAAGGTCTTGGAGAAAGGACACCTGTCTCATTCCATCTTTTTCATTTAGAATTAGACCAAAACCATGACCAGCAAATTAGAATCCGAACAGTTTCAAAGATTAGCTAGATATTCACCAAATACATTTCCTCTTTCTGTGTACCCAGGTATTTCCCAACTGCCTCGCACTTAGAAATGGAACCACATGATCAGTTCTGGTGAATGAAATGTGAGAAGAGACATTTCAATGCCCAATCAAGGCAATTAAGAGGTGTGTGCCTTCCCCGTGTGTTCTCTCTTGATGATGCCCGAGTACCCTTGAAGTGACATGTTGAAGATGGCAAAGCCACAGCATGGAAGGAACCTGCTCGTTAAAGGACTGTGTACAGAAGACCCTCCCTCACTGACTCCATGGATCTTCAAGGTGAGCAAGATATGAAGTGTTATTATAATAAGGCACTGGGTTTAGGGGATTGTTTATTAGACCATTAGGTATTGGCCTACCTACTAACTCTACACTCCACCCAAAAGAATTTTTTGCGACTATAATCTCACATGCGATATTTTGTTCAGGTTGTCCTTTTGTTCTAGTTGTCTATGCTAGAAGCCAGTGGATCTTACACTTCTTTGAACCTGATGAAAATTCATAACCCTCATCGCTAGGAAAATAAACAAATGTACATATGTTCAAAATTTTGCCAAAAATTTCAAGATGTTTTCAGAACCCCAAGAGGCTGATCAACAGACCCCAGGCTAAGATCCTTGATATTAGTAATTAGTATATGAAGAATGTAGAGGAGCCCTGAGTATTAAGTGTCTATTATTTCCAAGCTTTCCAATTTTACTTATCATCCCCTTCATGTTCAGTTACTCAGTCATATTTATGTCTTTGATCATTGGATTTTAAAAATGCAGAAAAATCTAGTTCTTCAACATTGATTTTCCTCTCCCAAAGCAAAGATGTCAGTGCAATAGTTGCAATGCCAAACATCAATTATGTGACCATGTCTTTTGATTTCTGTATCGATTGTGAGCAATCCCTGCGTTAGAACCATCAGCGATGTGATGGTCAATATTCTATGCCAGACACTGCAATAGCTTTTGGAAATAGAATCTTAACTCCCTAGCATGACCCTTGAGACCTTTTCAATTTTGCCCTTTTCAGCTCCCTAACCTCATTTCTCATCACTCTCCTACACAAACTTTTTGTTCTAGTTGTATCACACTGCTGATGCTGCACTGAATCTACTATGTTCTTTCATGCCTCTGTGACTTTGCCTGGAATGTTCTTTCCCCGGACTGCCCAAAAACTCCTGTTATCCTCTAATATTCAGCATCATCTGTCTAGTAATCATCCCTAGCCCCCACACTCTCGAGTAGTGTCCCTAAGAGTGCTCCCATGATATTGTCAATGCCCCTGCCACAGTACCCATCACACACAATGAGGATTTTACTGCCTGCCTCCCATTAGAGTTAGCTCTCGAGGATGAAGACTGTCTTTTATTGCATTTTTTAAAAAATATATTTTATTGATTTTTTACAGAGAGGAAGGGAGAGGGATAGAGAGTTAGAAACATCGATAAGAGAGAAGCATCGATCAGCTGCCTCCTGCACACTCCCTACTGGGGATGTGCCTGCAACCAAGGTACAGGCCCTTGACCGGAATCGAACCTGGGACCCTTGAGTCCGCAGGCCGACGCTCTATCCACTGAGCCAAACCGGTTAGGGCAATTGCGTATTTTTTATAGCATAGTCCTGGCACACATTGAAGCATGCCATGTTCTCAAGGAATTCATCGTCAAGGCAAGTAGTTAGTGATACATGGGGGAGGGGGGAACAACCAAATGTAATATATCATGTTTTAAAGACACCAGCAGAAGAATGCTTAAACTACCATGGGGACACGCAGGATGGCAGGATGGGACAATTAGTTCTGGAAGAGTGGGAGGTGGTAGAGAAGAAGGAAGGGGGTGAAGGAGACATCCAAGGAAGGTTTCACTGGAGAAGGGACTTTTGTTGTTGTTAATCCTCACCCAAGGATATTTCTCCATTGCTTTTCAGAGAGAGTGGAAGGGAGGGGGAGAGACAGGGAGAGAGGAACATTGATGTGAGAGAGACACATCGATTGGTTGCCTCCCGCATGTGCACTGACAAGGGGGTAGGGTGGGGGAGGGGGATGAGCCTGCAACAGAAGTACTTCAGTCCCTGGGTCCACGCTGTATCCACTGAGCCAAACCAGCAAAGGGAGAAGGGTCTTGAGTTAGGTCTTGAGAATTGAGTTAGAGTTTGCCAAAGAGAAGAGATAAGGATTTGTCCAGGACCTCTTAAGGGGAAGAGGTCTACCTCATTATGGTATAACCTGACTGGCAGAAACTTCAGATCTTTTCTAGGCTTTCCTGGCTGAGAGACCTGCTCTCAGTCACTTCACTCCCCAGGCCTTGATCTTGAGTATCGTCCTGGTTTATCTGAATCACTGATCACCCTGGCCCAGGAATGTGGCTCAGGAGGTCTGTCTTGTCTGTTGACTAGTCAGATATGGGCAAATTGGGTTTTCATGACCTTGGCTTGGAATAACCAGAGTTAGTTAGCCCAGCTGTAATTCAGAACTTAACTGTATTAGTTGTCAGTGTTAGAAAGCTTTCTCAAATTGTTTAGGCAAAAGGTAGAAATCTGGGGAGACTGTGGTGACTCATGAGGT